TCCCTATTTTCTTCAATTTCAGTCTGAATTTGGCAATAAGGAGTTCATTATCTCCCAGTCTTGTTTTTCCGACTGTATAGAACTTTTGCTGATTGTATAGAACTTTTCCATTTTTGTCTGCAAAGAATATAATCAATCTGATTTTGGTATTGATGATCTTGTGATGTCCATGTGTAATGTCTCCTCTTGTGTTGTTGGAAGTGGGTATTTGCTATGACCAGCATGTTCTCTTTGCAAAACTCTGTTAGCCTTTGTCCTGCTTCATTCTATACTCAAAAGCCAAATTTGCCTGTAACTCCAGGTATCTCTTGACTTCCTACTTTTGCATTCCAGTCCCCTATAATGAAAAGGACATCTTTTTTGGGTATTAGTTCTAGAAGGTCTTGTAGGTCTTCATAGAACCATTCACCTTCAGCTTCTTCAGCATTACTGGTCGGGGCATAGACTTGAATTACTGTGGTATTGAATGGTTTGCCTTGGAAACGAACAGAGATCATTCTGTTGTTTTTGAGATTTCATCCGAGTATTGCATTTCAGACTCTTTTGTTGACTATGAGGGCTACTCCATTTCTTCTAAGGGATTTTTGCCCACAGTAGTAGATAAAAAGGTCATTTGAGTTAAATTCACCCATTCCAGTCCATTTTAGTTCACTGATTCTTAAAATGTCAGTGTTCACCCTGGCCATCTCCTGTTTGACCACTTCCAATTTGCCTTGATTCATGGACCTAACATTCCAGGTTCCTATGCAATATTGCTCTTTGCAGCATTGGACTTTACTTCCATCACCAGTCACATCCACCACTGGTGTTTTTGTTTTGACTCTGTCTCTTCATTCTTTCTGGAGTTATTTCTCCATTGATCTCTAGTAGCATATTGGGCACCTACCAACCTGGGGAGTTCATCTTTCAGTGTCCTATCTTTGTGCCTTTTCATATGTTCATGGGTTTTCTGAAGGAAAAAATACTGAATTGCTTTGCTGTTCCCTTCTCCAGTGGACCACGTTTTGTGAGAACTCTCCACCATGACCCATCTCTCTTGGGTGGCCCTACAGGGCATGGCTCATGGTTTCACTGCGTTAGACAAGGCTGTGATCCATGTGATCAGGTTGTTTAGTTTTCTGTGATTGTGGTGTTCAATCTGTCTGTCCTCTGATGGAGAAGTATAAGAGGTTTATGGAAGATTCCTTTTTGGAGAAGCTAACTGAGGGGGAAACTGGTTCTTGCCCTGATGGGTGGGGCCATGTTTAGTAAATCTTTCAACCAATTTTCTTTTAAAGGGCAGGGCTCTGTTCCCTCCCTGTTATTTGATCTGAGGCCAAACTATGGTTGAGGAGTGATGATAATTGTGACCTCCTTCTAAAGGATCACTATGTAGTCACTCTGCCTTTAAGAACACTGGGAGACTTTGAAAGCAATGTCTTTCAAAACAACCAATGAAGGAGCTTCCTTTAGGGAGAGAAATTCAGCTCTATTTAAACAAAGCAGAACAATGAAGCATTTTTAGAATCCCAACACCACTCCTCCTTTTCACAGTTTGGTTTGCCCTCTTTCAAATTAACACCCTGACATCCACATTAGAATTGAAACTGACAAGGCATCCCTTTCATCCCTGACTGCCAAAACTCCTTACTAATAATAATTAGCCGTTCCTGGCTTCTATCCAAGAGAGTTTAATAAATACTAGAATGGCTTCTGGGCCTCAGCTTCATTTCTTACCTCAGCTAAGGAATGATGGGTGGAGGGGAGGAAACACTACTCTATGGAATAAGATTTGCTGAATAGCATCAGGGCAGCAAAATGACTTCTCAGCTGTCTATTATGAATAATCATTATTTAAATATATATTTTATGTTAGTGTATGTGTAGAAATGTTCATTCAAACAGGTCATATTTAGCTTAATAAAGTTTATTTCTATACCTGTCTTAGAAAATGTGTAGTATATACCATTGGAACTTTTGATAATAACTTTTTATAGATTTCATATGGTGTGCTTTACGAGGAAATGTAACTGGCTTTGATTTCCAGGTAAACATGATCTATAATATTCCACATCTATACAATAAAATAATATGGGTAGTATTTAAGATTAGTCATTATGAATGTATCATTTAGTTAATGAGTAAAATACTTCCATTTGGTTTGCAATGTTACCTATCTTAAATATTTACAGAGCATACTGAATGCCTTGATAAGAGCAGGTGTTGCCATAATTATTAGAAGAAATATTGTGATATGGGGAGTTTCTTTCCAAACATCTGGTTTGGAAGAAGGCATTTCTATTCCAATCTTTGTGGGAAGGAAAATATCAAAGAATAGTTATTTTGGTTTTTCTTGCATTTTACTCTGCAAGGCAGAAGGGAATGACATCTGATTGGTAAAAATGGAAGGGGCTATGCAAAGACTTTTTTTTTTTCTGTTTTTTTCAAGAGTAACCTATTTCCAGGATTCATTCATTCTCTGTGTCCTAGGGCCAGGTCTGCTCCATGAAGGAACGAAGACTGGCACCCCAGAGTACTGGATAAATCTGGAGTATTCAGAGAAGAGGAGTTAGGTTCTCCATACATCCACTGGCCCAAAGAAATATCTTTACCTCTATGTCACTACCTCCTGAACCTTATTTTAAAACTCTTCAAAAGATGTAGAGGAAGAGTCAGACCTGTGTATTTGCTCTAAAACTCTGATCTAGCTGCTCTGTGGTGAGTATAAACACATGGCACATGTGTGAGTGTGTCTTATTATCCTTGGCAGTTTCTGGGTCCATTTTGCTAATCTGAAAGAAATATAGATGAAGCTTTGGCCCTTTTTTCAAGGTCTTAATCCCTGAATAGTTCTCTGCCAGAAATGAAATATTTGGGAGTTTGTTTCATGAAATCTTATTAAAGATACTAAGAGACAAGATGATCACCTCACTAACTAACCAGTGTTACCTGCCCAGTTTCTGACTTGAGATTTCACTTTGATGAAACTTGTATGAAACTTGATTAGAAAATGAACTAACTTTTCTTATAATTTCATAAGAAAATGATTTAATGGATCATTAGGAGAATTTAACTCTAACTTGGACCATATTTTCAGAACATAAGTATTAAACCCCTAACTAATTTTATAATTAAAATTTAGTTTTATCAACATATATTTATCTAACAATTAGAGTAGAAATCATCATTTTGGATTTTGAACAAGAATTAACACACTACAGTCAGGAATTCAGAACATTTATTGCAAGAGCTGAATAATTGTAAATAACGTAGAACTGGCAAAGCAGTAACAAGGATAATTGTTTAGATATTTATTGTGTCAAAGTCATCAAACACCCCTCACAAACCGACAAATATGTACTGCAATAAGCAATGCACCCCTACCCATTATTTTCCATTATACTGTGGAAAAAATGTGAATTGCTATTTACAAAGTAATTTTATTTTTGGTAAGAACAAATTATCTATCAGATTAGCAAACCATTTTTTTATTTTTATTTTATTTTTATTTTTTTTAACTTTTAAGCTGATGTTGAACCGTGGCATTAAGATAACTTTCACTTCTTTCAGTAAAAACATTTTGTTGCATGCTATTTATTTGTTTAAATCATCTGTCATGCCTTAACAAAAACCTCCTAAGAATGTTCGAATTTGGATTTGTTTGCACGTGCAACTGAGATCTTATTAACATTAGTTGTCACTCTGTTGGTTTGACCTAAGTGACAAGATGCTGGTACCTGCCAGGCATTGACCAACTATGATAACAAACAGTTAAACAGCAATAATTAGAGATTTATCCCTTAATTTCCCCCAACTAGCCTACCTGGAGAATGTTCTGTTACATCATGAAGGCACAACACATTAAATATTTTGTGGCTATGGTCTAACACTTGTGTTACAACAACATTATTATATATGAGGATCAACACAAACTGTCATTTCAACAAAGTTGTAGACACACATTTGCCCAATTGAAACTATTTTGAATATTAATTTTTCTTTAATATATGCTAATTTAATATATTAATTCTGCATGAGTGACAAGCACAGGATATTACTTCACTTTCTGAAAGATAACACTTTCCCATTAGTATCTCACTTAATGCTACTAAATAAGTGATTTTGCTTTTGCCTACTTTGAAAATAAGGATGTCAAGAAAATAGGTTCTGAATTTTCAAGCTTTTGCAGAAGTCCTTTTATATATGAAGTTTTCGTTTTTATCTTTATTTTTTAGAATTCCAGCAACATAAGCTATCATAAAAGAAAGAAGATTCCAGAACCTTTTCTTTAAACACAAGTATTTGAGATCTTTTGAACAATGTGTGTCAAGACAGACTACTAACGCAGAAACACCTCACTAAAAGAAACAACAAAAATAACAACAAAGAGGCAAACCAAAAAAGGAAAGAAGCAACCATAAAACACAGAATTATGCTACAACATTTTTAGGTGAACGATATAAGTACATAAAAGTTGTTAATAATAACTTGCTTCTATTTACAAATACTTTAACACTGATTGACTTACAAGTGTCCACTAATGTTGTTAACAGCACAATAGGTTTAATGCTTATCTTTTTAAGTTTTGTCTGAAGTATAATGTCAAGTATAGCAGTCTCAGCACAGATCAGTGACAAAAAGAGCACAATTTTCTAACTGGATATGTCTGTCAGTCACTCGAATCCATGGAACTTCCTTACTCTCCAAATGCATATTCTATTATTCATAGCAGCAGTCCAGGGTCAAAATAAAATGCAATTTAAAAAAGGATATTTGCACAATGGAGATACTTCTGGAAAGTTTAATCAATCCTAGTAAATAAGATCATATGGCTAGTAGAACTATCTTCTCTCTTATGTGATAAAACATTGTATCCTCCATGGTGCCAACACAAAATTATGGGTATCCCTGCTCTAAGGGGCATAGTTGTAGAGATCTATTGAATACATAAAGCTCTGACACACACGGTATTAGCATGTCTATTTAGATTAAAGTCCTTAGGTCCCATATGGCCTTTTTCTTTAGAGTTGGTGCTCCTTAGGACTCTCAATAGCACCTCCTGCTTGCTTATAAGACTTCAGATTTGCCAAAGGAATGTCTGTCATGTGGCCGCCATTGTTGAAATGGCCTTCAGTGGAGACATACTGCTTACGGTCATTGAACTGGTTCCTGTTGCTCTCTTCTTTCCAGGCTCTGGTCAGGGTGTGCCCATTCACAAGCTTGTCCTTCTTGATCCATTCTTTTTGGGGTGCAAAGGTTGAGAGAGGAGATTTAGGGTGTTGATATGGACCCAAGCCAGGAGGCATCCAGCAATTATCAGAGTGACCCAAAACCAAGCACTCTTGAGTGCACATCTCTGTAGCTTCAGCTAATCCTCGGGGGCCCAGAGGCCCATCTGCAGAGGACAAGAGACAAAAAAAATAAGGAAAGAGAGTGGGTAGAGTTTTCATTTTAAATTATATTCTTAGAGAAAAACTGCACTGGTGAGCTCTTTTTCTCATGAAAATTGTATTAAGCAATTCATAGATATGATTCCCCATCCTTTTTTCTTTCCACTTTTTAATTTTTGCAATATCGTGTTGGTTTCTGCCATACAACAATGCAAATTAGCCATAATTATACACAGAGCCCCTTTCTCCCCTTCTTGCCCTCTCCCATCCCATCCCTCCAGGCCATCACAGAGTGCAGACTGTAATTCCTGGGCTGCACAGTAGCTTCTCACCAGCTATCCATCTCACATCTGATAGTGTATATATGTTGATGCTACTTTCTCCATCTGTCCCACTCTCTCCCTCCACCACTGTGTCCACCAGTTCATTCTCTAGATTTGCCTCTCCATTCCTTCCCTGAAAATAGATTCATCAATACCTTTTTCTAGATCCTTCCCTGAAAATAGGTTCATCAATACCTTTTTCTAGATTCCATATATATGCATTAATACACTTTATTTGTTTTTCTCTTTCTGACTTACTTCACTCTGTCTAACAGGCTATAGGTTCATCTACCTCATTAAAACTGAAATTCATTCTTTTTTTATGGCTGAGTAATATCCTATCCTTTTAAGAATTACATAGAAGGAATAAAATTCCTTGTTTTGGAGGTAAGAATTACTCTTTCCCTTAAGCCATCTTATATCTAGAGATATAGACAGATAAAAAAATAAGTAGATATATAGATATGGGTAAACAAATATACCCATGATGTATCATTTCAGATCAACTTTTTCTATGACATATGTATTATTACTGATTTATGTCCTAATTCTCAACAAAAACTCACATTCATTCATGAGAAATAATGAAATTTACAAAATTTTATGTACAATGCCATGTTAATTAAAAACTCCAAGAATACAAAAAGTGTTACTTCAAATATAATATTAAATATAAATACTGTGAATGGTTACACAAAATGATCTTCCATGTAAACATATCTTAATATGAAATTTATTAAAATAACTTTGCAACATTCTTTTTTAATTTAAGTAATAATTTTAAAGAATATTTTAACTAAAGTATGCTACTAAAGACACACCTGGTTGACTTCAAGCATTGTGAAATCCAAGTAAATAAAGATCCCATGTGGTTCCTTCCAAGCTTAACCTATTTTCTTGATTTATAAATGTATTAAATAACCAAAATTTCACTAGCATGAAATTCTAGCCAGGTTGCAAATTGGAACACACAGAGTGTAATATTCAAAGAGAAAAAAGTCATAGATATTTCTCTCGCTTTTTTTTTTTATATACCAGAAGGTGCTCTAAAACATTTTAACCATGATTTTGAAAGTAAACTATTCTCTGATTATACAAAAAGAAAATCAGTTCTGTACTGAAAAACAGTAGGTATCAAATGATTAAGGGTCAAATGGTCAAGGGTTAAATTGGGCTTTTTGTTGTCCTGTTTTCTTTCCCTTGATTAAACAGTCAACTGATAAGTAATAGCTTGAAAATTAGGAACTGATTTTACAAATGAGGTTAAGTATCAGATAGGCAATGATGCTTAAGGAATAAAACATTTTCAAAAGCTGAGAGTCATCAGAATAGAAATGTAGAAGAAAACATGACTGCAAGTTTGCCTACCCAACAACTAAAAGAGCCAACAATTGGAATGCAGGTCTCTGCTAAAATTCAAGTTAGCATTACTAATATCTTTAAATGCCCAATAATTGTGGAGTATTTATATTAACATCTATTTGTCTTAATAATATTCTAGTTATTTCTTGCATGCGAAAAAAAAAAAAAAAAACTTGCTGAGATAGGTAACTGTCGGTGGCAAATACCTGACCTTCATACACAGACAGCATCAGAATGGACACTGGATGTGAAAAGGGGGGAAAAATAAGGTGCTTAAAATGTACCCTTACTGAAATTTTAGTCTGTTTTGAAGTGTGAAGTCTGCTCTTTAGAATAACAGTAAACTTCCTTCCCATGTGATTCATAGTCCCATCCCCTCAAAAGCAATTAGTTTTATTTTTTAAAACATATGTTCATTACTTAAAACTATTTCTCTCACAAACTTTCAATGATCACTTACTCACTAGGTTATTTAATTTAACCTTCTCTGTGAACCTTTCTCTGTCCTCTGAATTTTGCCCACACTTTAAAAGTTCAAACTAGTTTCTCCTTTATAGGTTCGCTTTGGTGTGTTCAGTGACTCTGTATCCACAAAGCTAACATGTTTTGATTTTGTTCAAACTAATCGGTGCCCCTTCCGTCAGAATCACAGACCTAGAAAGTGCTTTAGCCTGGCTTGTTTTCATTTAATTACTGACTCTATCAAGGGGCAGTTTGCTTCCCATGTACGACAGCAAGCTTCCCTAACTTTGCTAATTCATATATTGTATGCACTGGGAAGATTTCCAAAGATCAGTTCAGTTCAGTTCAGTTCAGTCACTCAGTCATGTCCAACTCTTTGCAACCCCATGAATCGCAGCACACCAGGCCGCCCGTGTCCAACTCCAGGAGTTTACTCAAACTCATGCCCATCGAGTCGGTGATGCCATCCAGCCATCTCATCCTCTGTTGTCCCCTCCTCCTCCTGCCCCCAGTCCCTCCCAGCATCAGGGTCTTTTCCAATGAGTCAACTATTCACATGAGGTGGTCAAAGTACTGGAGTTTCAGCTTCAGCATCAGTCCCTCAAATGAATACCTAGGACTGATCTCCTTTAGGATGGACTGGTTGGATCTCCTTGCAGGCCAAGGGACTCTCAAGAGTCTTCTCCAACACCACAGTTCAAAAACATCAATTCTTTGGTGCTCAGCTTTCTTCACAGTCCAACTCTCACATCCATACATAACTACTGGAAAAACCATAGCCTTGACTAGATGGACCTTTGTTGGCAAAGTAATGTCTCTGCTTTTTAATATGCTATCTAGGTTAGTCATAACTTTCCTTCCAAGGAGTAAGTGTCTTTTAATTTCATGGCTGCTGTCACCATCTGCAGTGATTTTGGTTAGTCATAACTTTCCTTCCAAGGAGTAAGCAACTTTTAATTTCATGGCTGTAGTCACCATCTGCAGTGATTTTGGAGCCCAAAAAAAGAAAGTCTGACACTGCTTCCACTGTTTCCCCATCTATTTCCCATGAAGTGATGAGACCGGATGCCATGATCTTAGTTTTCTGAATGTTGAGGTTTAAGCCAACTTTTTCACTCTCCTCTTTCAGTTTCATCAAGAGGATTTTTAGTTCCTCCTCACTTTCTGCCATAATGGTGGTGTCATCTGCATATTTGAGATTATTGATATTTCTCCCGGCAATCTTGATTCCAGCTTTTGCTTCTTCCAGCCCAGTGTTTCTCAAGATGTACTCTGCATATAAGTTAAATAAGCAGGGTGACAATATACAGCCTTGACGTGCTCCTCTCCTTATTTGGAACCAGTCTGTTGTTCCACGTCCAGTTCTAACTGTTGCTTCCTGACCTGCACACAGGTTTCTCAAGAGGCAGGTCAGGTGGTCTGGTATGCCCATCTCTTTCAGAATTTTCCACGATTTATTGTGATCCACACAGTCAAAGGCTTTGGCATAGTCAATAAAGCAGAAATAGATGTTTTTTTCTGGAATTCTCTTGCTTTTTCAATGATCCAGTGGATGTTGGCAATTTGATCTCTGGTTCTTCTTCCTTTTCTAAAACCAGCTTGAACATCTGGAAGTTCACGGTTCATATTTTCTGAAACCTGGCTTGGAGAATTTTGAACATTACTTTTCTAGCATGTAAGATGAGTGCAATTGTGCAGTAGTTTGAGCATTCTTTGGGATTGCTTTTCTTTAGGATTGCCTTTCTAATGCATAACAAACTCCCAAATTGAACCCACTCAACTTTTACATTATGGTATTTTTGTCTTTTGTCTCTAGGGTCTGTACAATCATGAGTGTACATTTTTATTTTTGTTTTCTCTCAACTAGATTTAAAATCCATTGATGAAAAAAAGTAATGATCTGTTTTCTTATTCCTCCTGGTGCTAAACAATAGCAATGATTTATGTACAATGTTAATTGTTAATTAAATTTTTATGAGGTTGAAAATGTTCTGAGAAATTATTAAATATATCCTCCACTTAAAAGGCAGAACTTAAGTAATCAGAATATGCTGATTTCACAAATATCATACCAAAAACTTCCTCAACAACAAATCTCTTTGCCTTAGCAATACTTGTGACAGTTAATAAGTGGATTATTTAACTTCTCTGTTAAATATGTTCACTCCTTTTTAGACCAATAGAGATAATCAATATATAATATATCTTTAGGTCTATCAATCAATTCTTAACTTTTACTATTCCAGAATCACTAGTACATTTTTCTTTTCTTGTTAATACCTCCAAAGTGGGGGGAGAGGGGATTATTAGCTACCTTAGAAATATCAATAGCATCAGGATTTTATAGAGTACCTAAAAAGAGAGAGTATGCAATATTATTTTTTAAATACTTATCTAATATACATTACTATCTTATTAAATTAAGGGTATTACCCAAGAAGTGAGAACACTGTGTGTGTGTATTGTGTGGACCTGAAACCTTCAGCACTGAGTGACACATTTTAACAAAACAGTAAGCATTATTTTTCAGAACTGATAACATTTATTTATTCCATAAATATTTACTGAGCATGTACTATATGCTGACACTGTGACAGGCACTGGGAAAATAGCAGTTAACAAAGCAGATGTCAACACTGTCCGCATGGAACTGTGCGTCTACCCTGGGAAACAAATAATTGCCTTAAAAGCAGCAAACCAAGAGACGAAAAAAAGAGTGTCATTGGGAAGGAGGTAGAATTTAAGGAGGCTTGTGTCTTCACAAGGCAACAGGGGTACTTTGTCCCAAGCTATATAATTTCTACATTTTTCTGAAAG